GCTCCCTGCTCAGCAGGGAGTCTGCTTCTCCCTCTGACCCTCTTCCCTCTCATGCTCTCTATCTCTCATTCTCTCTCTCTCAAATAAATAAATAAAATCTTAAAAAAAAAAAAAAAAGGATGTGAATTCTTGAATATCACAATTTAGAACTGTCTTGACTATAAAGACATCAAGTACGAAATTAATTTTGGATAGTTCAAAATGGGAACTGCTTCAGAGTCTAACTTGGCAGGTGTCAATTTAAAGGGCATCTAAGACATATTCCACTCTTTCTTACAGGTTTCAGTGCTATTTGAAGATGGTTTACCTCTGTAGTTTCAATTCTGCTACACTGACAAAACACAAGGTAGGAGATATACTGTGGAAGGGAGAACGTCAGTGATTAAAGATATTTCTAATTTGGGGAGCTAATGGAGATAATGTTAGTGGTGTTAAGACATTCCTAATTTGGGGAGCTAAGGTGCCAATTTAGATCCATGGTATTTTCATTCCTTCTTTACAGTGTTCATCAGAAAAAGAAATATCATCTAACAGTCAAGTGCTTTGGATTGGTAATCAAACTGACTTAGTTTCAAATCCCATCTCTGCCAGTGTCTACCATACTCTCTGAGCCGGAGTATGCGCATCTGAAAAGTGAGGTTTAACAGTATCTACCTCACAGTCTCCTCCTGAAGATTTACTAAGATAATGCGCATCAGTGCCTGGCACTACACAGAAGGAGATCAATAAGTTATCTATTATTAATATTATTAAGCAGATAAATTTCAATAACACTTATCCATAGAATATCCTAGGGAAAAGAAAGTTTTTCAGGAAAATATTCAATCAGATTTTATCTAGATTTTATTTGATCCAAATATTTTTATCAAGCAAAGATACTTATGAAACAATAACCTTAAAAGACAATAATCTGAGGAAAGGCAGAATTACTGATTGCTTTCCAGACACGGGTAAATTAGAATGCAAAGTGTAAAATGTTTTAATTTAGAAATGAAATTCCAAACAGACATAACATTAACATCTATTGCATTATCTGAAGAGAATAAAACATTAACATACCAGACAATGCAAAAGCCCTGAAAAATGCAACTTTTCACATCTATTTCAAAAAGAACCAATTGTAGGAGAAGAGCATACTGGCTGAACAAATTTGTTCTTCAGACACAAATGTTTGATTTGTTGGTAACTCAAAGCCCCAAAGATATCTATTATTGAATGAGTCAGTTATTACAGTTAGACACAAAACTTTTTAACACATGAAAAACAAAACAAGACTTAAAATGAAAATTAATGAAGAAAAGAAAGAATACTAAGAAATACTAAGAAAATACTATACTAAGTATACTAAGAAAATACTAAGAAAAATACTATAAGGCAGGGAGACTAGAGGAGAAGGCTTGGTTTCTCCAAATGGAACATTCATGGTGAATAGGAACGCCAACCGCCAAACAAGACCTTTTAGATCCAAAACAAATAGCTGAGAAGTTTCCGGTAACTAGAGAGGGAGATGGAGGAGTTTACCCATTATTAGAACTGTGTTCCAAAATAAAGGCTTAAAAATTATAATTTTGAAAAAAGTCCTAAAAATGAAAACCTTTAAGTTTTCATAATCATTAAGAACAATCCTCAACATTTTCTAAAGTTCTTATTATGTTCTAGAATAGTCTTGTGCTCATATTAATTCATTACATCCTCACAACAATCCTATAAGGTCATTTAATAGAAGAGATTTTGATGCTAAATAGCTTGCTCAAATAGTGACACTGATTTTGAACCAGACAGTTCCTGGGAAATTAGTGCATTACTAATATCTTGAATTCTTTATTGAAGTAAGAGCAGCACTACTGTCATCTGCATACCTATGGGTCCATACTATTTTAACACATGAAGAATGTGGCATTATAATCCAAACTGGTCTGCAACAAGGAAAGTATGAAACTGAGACAAAGCCTTCAAAAAATTTTATAGAATATGAATATTACAATTATAGGAGTAACAGACATAGAGGAGTATGTCTATTGAATATAATAACACTACATTTGGGCTTATATTTTGTATGTCTTTTTTTCCATTTCATTTTCTTAGTATTTAATTTTTATAAATATATTCATCTGCAGTGGAATGGAAATTAAACAAAAACAAGAACTAGTCATTTACCAGATAGTTGGAGTAGCACTGCCCTAGAGCTCTGGCACAAACAGCTTGCTCTCTGTTAACAGCTCTGTGGCAAAGAGGAGCTACGCTCAGGTAAGTAACAATCCTCAGATAATCAATCTAAAACCACTTTGGTCATGGTTTACATTTTAACATCACTCATCAATCAGAGCTCCCGCTAAGTGGGGTTAATTCTAGGTAAGTTGTAGGCTCTCAACCTACTTATGTAGCTTTTTCCTTTAGAATCAAAGACAGCTGCTCATTACCAACTGAATCTAACATCGTAGGATAGTGCTAAACTAGTGGTTCCAACTCTTTTACCACATGGGACTTCCTTTGTGTAAGGTATGCTTTGGTCTCCTTTCCAAGTTTAGTTTTCCCCATTCCTATATGCTGAAGAAGAGAGCATCTTGATTATCAGTTACTCATAAGTGCTTTCAAGAATCAGACATTTCTTTTCCTTTGTTTTAGAAATCATTTAGGCATAAAAGTAAAGTCACCAGGTCAAAAAGCAAGGAAGAAGTTACAAAAGCATCAAGAAAGTTGGTCTGGGGGCAAGGAATGTTGAAGAAAGTGACAGAGAGATCAATGTCACATAAACCTCTTGATGGTCAGATATAGCAGGTAGGCACCAACTGCTAAAGCAATTTTCAGGTTACTTAGTTTTAACTCATTTCTAAATACTAATCCTGCCATAATTAATGGTTTTTTGAACTTTTATTCCTACTCTGAGAAATTCTGAGGAAAAATAAGTATTGAGTGACAAAACAGCAGGTAGATTAAGAACATGAATAAATAGCGTATCTTTTCATATACATGAAAGTGAACTGCAAAATAAATTAGATTTATTGGTCTCTTTATTTATAATAACACTAGTCCCTAAGAAAAGCCAGATTTCCTTAAAAAGTAGTTTAACCAACTGTGCTTCCCAGCCCCCATGAATGAAGTTTCTTTTTACAAATTTATCTCACTAGTTTCATGATACATCAATTTATAATAGTATAATCTGTCTAGAAAAAATGTTTAATTTCTAGAAGACAGAAAACATCAGTTGAATTCTAAAATGTCTAAGTTATATATAACTTCCATTTTTATTCCAACAGCTCAAAATGCACTGTTCCTGCTGTAATAAACAGGTATTTTGAATGTGATTTATAGCATTTTAAGGGCTACAGCTGGAAAAGACCACTTGACCATCAATTCAGACAGCCACGACATGTCATACCGTTCTCTTTATTAATACCTTGGTTAATTACACCACGCACGTACACATTTGCTCTCAGTGAAAAAGAATATAGCAGATACTTGCATATTGCAAAAATCACTCAAGATAGTTCAAGAAAATACTGAAATTGGAAAAGCTCTAAGCATTTTTTTTTAAGATTTTATTTATTTATTTGACAGAGACACAGCAAGAGAGGGAACACAAGCAGGGAGAGTGGGAGAGGGAGAAGCAGGAGAGGGAGAAGCAGGCTTCCCGAGCAGGGAGCCTGATGTGGGGCTTGATCCCAAGACCCTGGGATCATGACCTGAGCCGAAGGCAGGTGCTTAACGACTGAGCCACCCAGATGCCCCAGTTCTAAGCATTTTATAGAAATAAAAAGTTTTGTTGATTTCTTATTTGAATTAATTATAATTTCTGATAAATGTTCCCTTAACCAGTTTTTAAATATACAAAGCAACTTAATTTCTCACAAATGTCAGCCCTAATAAGGACAATTAAATTCTAATGCAGTTATAAGAAAATACGGTTCATGTCAGAATAAAGCAGGCTCACAAAGTACTGGACAGGTGGCCCAAATAAGTGAGGTAGGCTTCACAGTCGAGGACTGTGACAATCTACGGCTAGTCAGCTCTAGCCAACTGTTGCCTTGAGAAAATACAGACAAAAATGAATAACAATAATAAAAATACTCTGCTATCTAACAAAGTAAGTCTGTGGGCTAGTTTTGGTATGACTACCAGTTTGCTCTTTCATGAAGCTCTTTCAGGACTGGCAGTGAAACTGGGCCTATTTTACTGCTGAACCCCAAGATACTCATGAAATCCTGTTCCCTCCAAATGTAGTATTTTTCTCCCTAAATCTTTTGAGCACTGTGCATGCTGTGAACTCTTTATGAAGAACTTACCTGCATTTTCACTGATCAATGCTTTCATCCACTAGTTAATGTTTGTTCAAGTAATAACAAATGAACAAATTAACTAAATGTCAAAACATATTAACAAAAAATTCATTTCTAAGCAAAGATTTGAAACAACTTCAAATATCCATTCCAATGCCCTCTTTCTTTAAAAGAAAATCTGAGTTAAGAACAATCTAATTCAGTTTTTTTCTTATTTTCATTCTAATACAAAAAATTCAAATCACCAGAAAACTTTTTTGGATTCTAATCCAAAAAACTACCTTTCCCCCCCAAAAAAACTATGCTTCATTTTCTCAAAAAGAGGAGTTATCATGATTTCTATGCATATGGACAAATAATATTCTCCGTTTATGTTTCTTGATAGCAATCTGGAACCTCGATTCCTTGGAACCTCTGGGAATCAAAAGAATGTTACGGTGTCTCTTTCCAGGAAAAAGCACAGAGCCCTAAATTTTTGTGTGCAATTTCACAAGGTTCAGAGTACCCCAGGATCTTCAGTGTATCCACCCACACCAAATTAAGGACTCTAGTGCTTAAAAAGGGGTTCGTTTCTATTATGAAATGCCATACATCTTTTTAAGATAGCCTTCCTTAGTAAGACCTTTAGCTCCGAGATTAATTGGGGAAGGAGCTTCCCTTTACAACTGTCACTACTTCCCAGCAGCCATCCTGACAGCTGACAGAAAATTGAGAACTTCTTACCTCAGAGAAATTAACAGCCAAAGGAACGATTCCAGCCACGTAACATCCCACCAACATAGCCAGAGACAGCAGACTAATGGAGATGAAATCATCCATTCTGTCCTCCTTTATTTACCCACCGCCAGCCGACTACAAATTTTCAGCGGCTTCAAAGGGTCCTTAGGTTCTTAAACGCGTGTGGTGTTCCCAAGAGAACAAGTGGACTTTCCAGTTCTTTCGTCCTCCCCACCAGCAGACGTGTTCACGAAACCCTTCTCTGGAACGCACCTGGAAACAGCCCCTTTTTTCTGATATTAGCACCAGAGAGAACTTTCAGCAATCTCAGGTCCCGGCCCCTGCGTTTTCAGATGCCAGTCACTGGATTCCCTACGGTTAACAGTTAAATGTATGCGAAAGAGCGATTTCTTCAATGGTCGGAATGGTGGCACAATGGGCCCACTCCCTCCACAGACAACGTCCCAGGTGGCAGCAGGAAAAGGAGGAAAACCCAAGCAAACTTGTTCTTTCTCCCGGCGCCCCTATGTCCCTGGGGCAGTCCCCCCCCAGGCTGGGACCAGCCCACCAGTCCCAACAAACTCTCCTCCGAGTCTAAAATGGGGGAAAGAGTCCTCAGGTCTCTAACGATGGGCTCAGGGGTTCAGCAGCGAAGCTGATACAAAGCTGTCTCTGCCCTATACCCGATGCCGCCCATATTACTCCACTCCGCTGGGCCTTGACCCGGAGCCACCGATACTACAGCTGCCATGGCCGCCAAGTGGCACCTCTTCATTACATCCACTTCCGGATTGCTTCACCGCCCCCTCCTTTAGAAGAATACTTCCGGGTTACAACCGACCTATGGCCCGGGAGTCTTATGCGACCGCCATTTTTGAGTAGGGCTAATGAAAGATGTCTGGTGTCAGAGTCTATATCTTCGTTCACTCTAGCCGTACGTCTAATAACGAGAGTAAAGAAGACAGTGTCTTGAGAAGAAATGATATTTTTCCAGTTCCGCAGCAATTCCCTTTGTATGTCGTCGCCCTTATCCAAGATGGCTGAGACAGAGTCAGTATCCGCTCTAGCTGCCGGAAATGTGTGCGCCTCTATGGTCCAAAAGGCTCTTTCGCGTTGCGTTTCTGACGACTTCCGGCGGCTCCTCTCGCGGGGATTGGCTGTTGGCGGCGTTGCTGCTAAGCTCGTGTGCGGCGGCGGTGTCGGCAGCGGCTGCAGCGAGAGAGTTTGGCGCGATGGTGAGAAAGGCCTCAGCGGCTTCCCGGTCCCCCAGCCTCCGGGGCGATCTTAGCCCTGTACATCTTTTCCCCACCCCATCCAGCGCGAGCGTGCAGCTCCCCGGCCCACCAGCTTGTGACTGGACCCTTCCCCTTCCCGCCGCGGAGACGCTTGGCCTGGCACTAGGCCCCGGAGCCCGGGTCCGCCCTACGTTTGCGCGCCCGCCTGCGGCTCCGGCGAGGCATGCGGTGTGGAGGATGCTCTCTCTCCCAATTGCAGCTTGGTAGAGGCAGGCGTGGGGATGCTGCTTTTTCCCTCCAGACTCTCTGGCCCAATGTAGGAACAATGGCCGAGGGATGTCTGACAAACCTGTTCCCAAACCTGACAGATTCAGTGTACTGCACCCCACGTGTGGGCCGGGAGGGGTCGTCTTCGCTTTGTAGTGCGCTTTCTCAACTATTCTCTTTTGTTTTGCTGTGCTGTCTTTAAATATACATATAACGTTTTTTCTCTTTTCCAAGACCCCAGATGCCTGATTTCGGAGTTTCCCCCAGCCCTCAATCCTGTTCGTACTCATTCTCTTGGGACTGAAAGCTGAAAAGATAGGCTCAGCTGAGGGTTCCTTACAATCTGATCGGGGTGGTAGTGGAGTGACTGGGTATTTTGTTTGTATTTTTTTATTTTATTCCACCAAAACGGAGATGCTTCACAGGGATTATGAGGAATCATGGTTACTTCCACACTTCAGCTTTCGTTTTCTGTTTGCCGCAGTTTCTGTTAAGTTACGCAGCTGATGTTGGCAAGGAACTTTTTGAGGTTGTACTTTTCTGAATTGAAATGTTCGATGTTTGACCCGACATGGTTTCTTTCCCAGAGAGGACTAGGAATTAGAAGACTGGGTTTCCAGTTCTTGTTTTGTCATAACTAGCAATGTGACCTTGGACAAGTCTTTGATCTCTTAGTTTCCTTCTTTGCCTTTTATGTCACTATTTGGTATTGTGTTATAATGCTTAGATTAAAATCTGAGGAAGTGACAGCAATTAATAACCCATTGTTGGATAAATATCAGTGATAATTCCTTCTCAGTCCAAGTAGCATTAAAAATTAGAATTTGTATATAAAACAATTATTGGTTCAATAGTCTTAAATACCTTTGCGTTATTAAAGATAAAAGCTTTAGGTGTGGGTTGTTTGGTTGTTTTTTTTTTTTGGTAGTTTAGGAGAAGCATTTGAAGCTAATGTGCAAATCGTATGTATTGTTCTTCTGTAGCAGTAGAATGATTCTTAGAATTCATGTGTGTGAGACTTTTAAAAAGTTAGTAAGTCAGGATTAACTATTAAAGTGATTGACTTGTGCCTGGTAATCAGAGAGAATAAGAATTTTATTAACGTAATTCTGCATACCTTTTCCTGATTTAGATTTTGCAATTTTTTTTCTATTGTGAGAAATTTAAGTATATATGTATTTGCCTATATGTACTTATATTTTGCATATATATTTGTTTTTTAATAAGACCAAACAGCTTCAAAAATAACTCCAGTAAGAAGTGATCAAAACTGATTTGGGAAGTTTTATGATCTTAAAATGTTAATAGGAAAGCACAGCCACTTAATACTCGTTTTGGGGCTCCTGGGTGGCTCAGTCCTTAAGCGTCTGCCTTCAGCTCAGGTCATGATCCCAGGGTCGTGGATCGAGCCCCACATCGGGCTCCCTGCTCCGTGGGAGGCCTGCTTCTCCCTCTCCCACTCCCCCTGCTTGTGTTCCCTCTCTCGCTGTGTCTCTCTGTCAAATAAATAAATAAAATCTTTAAAAAAAAATAATACTCGTTTCAATTACAAATTTGTAAATTTAGTCATTTTTTGTTCTTAGTTTTTAATCCTAGTCTTTGGGTAGTAAGTATTGAAAATAGTGAGCTTTGTCAGAAGTTCATTCTAAGACTAGATGTAAAAAGTAGCATACTGAATAGCCATTTCCATATCTTTACTCTCTTAAGTAAATTAGTCCCTTAATTTGCATTAGAATGAGAACAAAATTAATATAGTAGCAACTGGTGTGGCTAATATACAGAGCGAGCCCTAATGCAGGAATGCTAGTGTGGTTTCTATAAAATTATTTTCTTCTCAACATATGACCCATCGAAACTACTGGGTTTTTTTTTTTTGAGTGACTTAGAAAAAATTCTGTATAACAATCTAATAAAATGGTTTCTTTGGTTTATAATGCCTATTTAACAAAGGCCAATTACCCTTCATCTCGTCACCAGCGTCTATTTTTATCTCAAATCAAACTTTTCATCAGAATGAGCTAGTTCTTGATGGGGAGGGAAGAATATGAGCAATTTCTTTGCTTTTTATATAGTGTTCAGAGTACTGGGTTTTTTTGGTGCTTATTCAGAAACTCTAGGCCTCAACTATTCAGTTCCAATATCTTGATGGTTGAAAATTCTGATCATTTCAAAACAGTTTGGGGGACCTGTCATAAAGGATTTTTTGGACTCCAAAATAATAGTACAGTAAAAGAGAAGAATGTGAATAGTTTGAAGACTGGGTGTACAGTGAGGTTGCATCATACTTGGATTTAATTAATTGACCTTACACACTTGGCATAAGATTGAAGGGGCCATAATTTTGATAGGACCAATAATTTGGAGACATTTTTGGTTGTCACAGTTTTGCCTAGGAGGGGGCAGGGGGTTCAAGTGCTACTGGTATTTAGTGGCAATAGGCCAGGGATGCTTCTAAACATCCCACAGTGCACAGGACTACCTCTATAAGGAGGCCCCTTCAAGCCCAACTCTGTATTTATGATCTAGTTGGGGAGAAATATAGGAAAGAAAAAAACAGTACAAGGTAGCTTATGCTGAATGCTTACAGGCAGTAAGTACAACAGTTGGAGAAAACAGCCCTTAAGGACTGGGAGACCTGGGGCACCTGGGTGGCTCGGTTGGGTGGCTGTCTTCGGCTCAGGTCATGAGATTGAGCCCCATGTCAGGGTCCCTGCTCAGGGGGAGTCTGCTTCTCCCTTTCCCTCTGCTTGTGCTCTCATAAACCCACTTAGGTTTTCTATCTCCACTGGTCACTTTCTGTCTCCAGCCCTATTAAGTCCCTTAATAAAAACTCAGATGTAGGCTGTTAAAAGGAGAAAAAGGGAAACACTATTAATGACCGTAAGCACTGGATCTGATTTATGTTTTTTCCAACCTTAGCACAACAGTAGAGTCACATCTACATACATACTTATGTTTTTCACAATAAAATATAATATCTAGTTGGGGAGAAAGATAGGAAAGAAAAAAAAACAGTACAAGGTAGCTTATGCTGATTGCTTACAGGCAGTAAGTACAACAGTTGGAGAAAACAGCCCTTAAGGACTGGGAGACCTGGGGTGCCTGGGTGGCTCAGTTGGTTGAGTGGCTGCCTTCGGCTCATGTCATGAGATCAAGCCCCATGTCGGGCTCCGTGCTCAATTGGTAGTCTGCTTCTCCCTCTCCCTGTACTGCTCCCCCTGCTTGTGCTCTCGCTCGTGCCCTCTCTCTCTCAAGTAAATAAATAAAATCTTAAAAAAAAAAAAAAAAAAGACTGGGAGTTCTTACAGAGAAGCTATCAGTCCACCTTCTGACACCACGCTTACACAAAGGCATAAATGTAGGACAAGCACCCTAATAGTGTTTTAATAACCAGTGATTATTGTGTCATGACTGGGAATTTTGTATCATACTAT